CTCTCCAGCGCACCACGCCAGCGCCAGCAGCATTCAGATGGGAGTAATGCCCGGTCAGCCGCCTTCTGCCAACTCCACCACCAACGGTCACATGAACCTGTACTTTGGCTTCAACTCCATTGACAGCGCATGCTGCCCTCCCAGCAGCGACTCCGGTGTGTCTTGCAGCGGTGGGCGAGTCGGCGGGTCACCAAACGAAGAACAGCAGGAGGCAGTTAGGATGTTTGCAGGCGAACAGGAGATCCATCGCATCCTAGTGGAAGTGATGTACATCGCTCAGCGGTTCCGTGACCAGGATGAGGCCGAGGCCATCTGCAGCGAGTGGAAATTTGCGGCAGCAGTCGTGGATCGGCTCTGCCTGGTGGCGTTTTCACTTTTCTCCATCATCTGCACCTTTACCATTCTCATGTCTGCTCCAAACTTCATTGAGGCAGTCTCGAAAGACTTCACATAATTGCAAAAGCATCACACTTTCGTTTTCTTTTGTTTTTAAAGAAACACCACGTGATTGAGAAGTGTCTACCACCAAAGTCGATTCCTTCCTCTTCTCATCGTTCTGAGATCAACATGAACTATTGTTACAATAATTATGATAAAAAAGAAAAAGAAAAAAAAACTTGACAAAGTTGTGTATTTTTGAAATGTGACTTTTCGAACAAACATACAGACCCTTGGACAAGCTGTTTGGGTGATATTTTGTCTTTATATAATGTATGTGGATTGAGCACTTGAGGGCTGGTTTATGTAAAGATGTGTTCTCAGTGTGCAAACACTGTTAGTCACAACAGCTAAAAATGTGTCTGTGAAGTTTATGTGCTGAAATTCAAATATAATCAGTCCCATAATCCCTTTGGAAGTCACACAGTTTCTTTTAATTTCTTGGCTTTAGTAATATTTTTAGCATTTAATATTATTTTAGAATTAAAAATCATCACCGAACTGACATTTCCTTACCAAAGCAACAATAACATACGTTGATGGTAGAATTAATATGCTCTGTAACTGTCACTTTCATAATTTTGACATTTTTTTATAAATATTAGTTATTAGTATATTCAAATCTCTCACTTGTGTCCGGTTTGTCCACATAATCAGAGTGTCGTTATTTTGTGACTTCATTCTGACCCTGTGCTCTGTTGTATTATGTAAAAACACTATGTAAACACTGTGGATATACGTCATTTTGTTAGAAAATATAGATTTAAAAAAATAAAACCATTTAAAAAGTTCTAGGTGAGTCTGTGTATTTTGGAAAATAATTTTCTAGCATTTACTTCTCACTTTCTGTAGACTGTGCATGAGGCATGTATTGTGGACCCAGTTTTGTTTCTTTCACAACTGTTTTTTCAACTTACTATAGCTTACTAGAGCTGCAAACACCAAGGCAACACTGGTGGCTCTGTGCTTAGCACATAAACAATGCAACATTACAGTTCATTTTGATTTATAATCCATTTTTAATGTTTTTTTTAAGGCTTTAATGTTACTTATGCTCAAAAAACACTAAAAGCTCTGTTGAGAAAGGAGAGAAGTAAAGCATACAGAACTAAAGCATACAGCTTTGCTTATTCATTGAGTTAGCGGAGTAGTGCAGATGCTTTTGAGATCCAGTAGTCACTGGGTCGGTTGGATGGCAACATCAGTTACCACAAAATTTGTGGAGTGTCCTAATAGACAGAACAAAAATATACAATTAAGAATAAATGAAGTAAAAATATAACGATAAAGACAATAATACAATTTCAAAGCTCTGATACTA